TTTAAATGGAGATTTCTATGCTTTGTGAATGTTATACCTTGCCAATATGAAATGAGTTGTTGGGTAGAGAGGTAGTTTGAGATGGAATTGAGGGGTGTTATGGATCCCCTTTTGGAAGTGCTTTCTTTGACAGGTTTTATGATTATGTGAAGGTTTCTCCCCATTTTGGATGGTTAGAGAAAGATTTAGAATCATTGCTATAGTAGAGTTTATTATGCACTTGAGTTGTTTGATGAAATGCCTAGTAGAGGTTTGAGTTTGAGTATTGACCTTAATTCTTGCAACATTGCATGTTGGCATTTCACAAGTGCATTAGTGGAGATGAACCATCCTATGCATTATTATATGCATTGAAAAGTAGACCTAAGAAAGAGTAGGAAACTTTGTGTATACAAATACTTATGATTAGAGACCTTGGTGAATACAACTACTCTAAGGTAGAGAGATAAAAATGTTAGAATAAGTAGATTAGAAGAGTAGAAGTGATGGGTTGATGCTTTGTGATCATCACCGATAGTTATGGGAACCGGATGATGCTTTGTGTTCACCACCGAATAGCCCTTAGAGATGGGTCGATGCTTTGTGATCGTCACCCGATTAATAATAGAACGGATGTGCTTTGTGATCCCCACCCGGTTATGTTAATAGCAAGTAGGTTATGCTTTGTGATCATCACCGACTTAGTAAAGCGGGTTGATGCTTTGTGACCATCACCCAATAGTGACTAGAGACGGGTTAATGCTTGGTGATCGTTACCCAAAAGTCATGAGAACGGTAGGTGCTAGGTGATCTCCACCCGATAGTTAGGAAAACCGAGTTGGTGCTTGTGATCCTCACTCGTTAGTCACTGAACGGTTTGGTACTTGTGTGAATTCCACCCGATAGTCATGGAGAGTGAGATGGTGCTGTGTGAACGCCATCCGACCGTACCTCGTAAGAGTGAGCCATGATGTTTAGTAGAAACAGAGATAGAATCGAAATAGTATGAAAGAATTAAAGAGTTATATATACGGGGACAGACAATAGAGGTTTTTACTTACTAAGCATATCTTTGTGCTCACCCCTTATTTTCCTTTGTGGATGCAGGATCTAGGTGATGATGATGCAGTCGAGGGGGCGTTGCAAGCGAAGAGAAATAGCTACACTGTTTCCCTTGTTTTGTCTTTTAAAATGAATTTTTGTAAACAGTACTCTTTGTGTATAAAGACTATGAATTATAATGAAAGAAAATTTTGGGGCCCAATTTTATATTGTTATTATGCATGCATTATACTAGTTTTTCAGTAGTTGTTACATAAAATACACATCCTTAACAGTAAAAACCATACACTATAGGAAGAAAAACCAGAGTTAGTCTAAAACATGTACTTAACTCTAAATTAACACCAGTCCAAAACACATCAGCCCACAACAATAATCTTCCTAGGTACATAACATAAGGTAGCACATTTTATGATTTTAAATTTGATAAATCTAGTTCAGACAACTCTTAATTATCTGTCTAAAAAGTAATTATATAATAAAAAGGTAGCATATTTTGTAATCATGGAAGAAATAAACTCAACTCCAATAATTTCATCCTCAATTGACCACATTTAGTTAGAATATCACAAATCACTGTTACATTTTACAAAATCTCTTCCGATAAGCACTTTCTTCAACAATGCTTGCACGTCCAGGAAATGGATTGTTAATCTCCACCCTCAAATTATAAACTAGTTCACAACAATCACCACCTGAGAGAAACAGCCCCATGATGGTAAAACAATGTACATATTGTTAGCAAAAAGCAACATGCAAAATTTATCAAATCTAATCCCATTGGAGCATTATAAACATGTATGCCATCAATCATTCACAAATTAGTTCCTAGAATACCATGTTAACAAAACTCAAAAAACTTTACTGAAAATCAACTCATCCAAATATATAAACTCCACTCAATTATAGTCAACCATAAATACAGTGAGTGAGTGAACTACACAATACTCCCAAAGTCATCCATTAATACAATCAACTACAAAGTAACTTACCATATGAATATAAACTTTCAACAGGATAACAAAATTAACACAGTAACTTACATCGTGGTTATCGCCTTCGTCATGGTTATCACCATTCGCTGTTCAAAGGGAGTGGTGGTTATCATGCATTTATATTTCAAAGTTGGCCGTTCATAGATCAAAAGGTTAAGGGCTATTTTAAGAAGTTAAAGTATAATTTATACTAGGGTTTCTGGGAAACCATTTTAAAATCCAATTCCAGTTACCGGTTTGAGGAAACCCATAAACTGAAAACCAAACTGAATATTGGTTTATGAATTTCCCCAAACTAAAGAACCAGTTTGAAAAACTTAATTTTTGGTCTGGTTTTCTAGTTCGATTCAGTTTTTGGCTTTTTTCCCACCTTATCCTAGACTCAGCCAAGTAATACATGGAAAAGGTTTTATTATCCACCCCTTAATAGTTGACTTTTTAAACTCATCCACGATTTCTAAAAATTGCCAAAACCAGTATTCCTCCTTACAATAGCAAACTCATCTGAGTGGGTAGGTTGCCAAGACTCCAAAAACCTAGGGTTGGGGAGAACCCAAATCCCGACCTTGGACTCGGCTAGGTAATTACCTAAGAAACCTTGTTTTTTACTATCCACCCCCTTAGAGATAAGTTATTCTAGGTGCACCCCATGTTCAAAAAGCATAAAAAAATACCCTGTAACCCCTAGTAAACTAGGTCTACGACACCACCTTGATTTCTAGAAAGTACCCTAAAACCCTTGAAACTCAAGGTTAGGGACAACCCAAACCTTGGTCTCAAATGTATAACTATATATTTTAAATTCAACCCGAGTAGGTAGGTTGCCAAGACTCCAAAAACCTAAGGTCGGGAAGAACTCAATCCTGATCATTGACTCAACTAGGTATTTACCTAAGAAATCTGGCTTTTATCATCCCCCCCCTGATGAGAGATAGCGTAATTCTAAGTGCAACTCCATGATTTCTAAAAAGTAAACAAAAAAAAAAAATATCCCCTAAACCCTAGTAAAGCAGGGTCAGACGACCCCACCCTTGATTTCTAGAAAGTACCCTAAAACCCTTGGAAACTCAAGGTTAGGGACAACCCAAATCTTGGTCTCAAATGTATAAACTGTATATTTTAAATTCAAACCCAAGTTATGAAGTTAACAAATTTAAACCCTATTGTGGTACTGCATCTCTTTTATCTTTTCTACTGTTTTTCCAATTCGCACCTTCTAAAATCTTCTCTAGTTCTCTTCTCTGCAGCACTTTAGACTTGCCTAGCCTTCACCACAGGCTTTTTAACAATCATATATATTGACAATATAAAGTTCGTAATCTCGAGCAAATATTTTAATTTTTGTTAAAGAAAAAAACTAATATTTTAGGTTTTTAAATCAAGATCAAGGAAATTGTTCCCCATCAAAGATTCTTCAACCCTAACCACGACTCTAGAAACCTGAGGGTAAGGGCAGGGGCTATATAGTAGAATAATAATATGATTGGATGAATGCACATAAAAAGTAAACTCATTAAATGTTCAACAAATTAGATTAATGATGCATCAATTAAAGAGTGGTGACACATAAGATTGTATGAAAAAAGTTTGTACAAGTAGTATTACTCTATATAGTATTACTGCGGCCACTCGCCCAACCCCCAAGCCGAGATTTGTCATCCTTACTCCTTTCTTTCTTCTCCTTCTCTTGCCTTTTTCCCCTTTCCTCCCTCTCTCCAAATGTAATCATCTCCAAACCCAATCATCCCCAAACCCAATCATCCCCAAATTGACATATATTATTATTATTAAAAATGTTTACTTGGCGCATCAAATGCATGTGCTTAATGGCATAAAAATGCCACTTTCCTCTCACCCTCACAAAAACCTTAAATTAATGCGCACTAACATGAAGAATTTTTTTTGCACCCCATATACTTTAAATCCAAAGGAGTCCCTACTCTTTTTGAATTATTTTTCATATCTTACCCTATATTCTTTATACTTTATTTCCTAGCACAGCCTGTTAGAATTAATTTTTATTTTTTTAAATTAAAACCCTTACCTTCACATCACTTGGATAACATCATTAGGCCACTCCATTACAGACTTCATAAGCTTCTAACAATATCCTGACCATTTTTTAGATGACCTCTTTGACTCGTACTAATATATTTTTAATCCCATCATTTCACAATCCGTCAAAGTAGATCCCACTATTTATCATCAACACTTCCTTTATATAGTTTTAAAACATTTCAAAAATAGCCTTCACTTTCACTCTTAACATGGAAATTAAAGAAACTTCACTTCATCATTATTATCTCTATTTTTCTTATAAAAATATAAAGTAGGAAGCAAATCTCAACCATGCATATTTGTTAATGTACATGTGTCATAAGATCAATAAATCTGGGGAAACAATCTAATCAATTCTTAAAATGAATGATACCACAATCATACATGCAATATCAAATTAGTTTAAGTGAAAGAGTTTATATATAAAGGTTGTATATCTATTGGCACATTAAACATAGTATTTGTATTTGCTCCCATATCTATTCCATTCCCAAGGTCAAGGATGCATTAGCAAGCACTTTGGAAAATATTCTGCGAATCAGAAGATGTTTTCCAGCAAATGGATAAATGCTTCTTCTGTTCGATATATATGCTTTTACAAGAAGCACTTCTTACAAAATTCGTTCTCCAATTCTTTTAACATTTTAAGCCATTCCAATTGCTACTTTAACACAAATTTTCTTCGAATAAAGCAGTGGCTAATCTCCATTGAGATATTCTCCAAATATTGTTCCCTATAACCCAATCAGACATCTACGCCTGGATGATATGTTCTATAATTTATTTATTTGAAAGGAATCATGGAAAGTGTATAATGTAAGCTTGTTTTGTGGGTCTGATTCATTAATTATGAGGGTATAAAGTTCAATATGTATACAAGTTAACATCAAATTTAAGTTAATTCAAACTCAGAAGTGTAATCTTCTCTTCACTTTATTGAACAAAATCATGAAGGCTGAGGCATACTTGTGTGGATGCAATGTCAAGACTTGCTGGCTTTGTTGCTGCCTTCCAGTTTGTTGTGTGGTAAGAGTTTCTGTAAAAAAAAAAAAATTCAAGTTTCAAGGAAAATATAAAATAATAATAATTACTGTTGATTCTATTCTCAATTCACTTCATCTTTGGATCACTCTTTAACTAGGGTAATGATAAATAATATCGTAACAAGTTTCATGAAATATTTGAGTCACATACTTTTGCTTTGTTAGATTAATTTATTCTGTTAAATAAAATAAATTCATGTGATTGTATGGATGTAGAAACGTTGCTGCTATTGTTCTTGTTCTGTTGCTGAAGAATCAAAGCCAAAAAAGAAATGCTGTACGTGGAAGAAATGTTGCACGTGCAAGAAATCCAAGAAGCCAGTGAAGAAAGAGAAGGTCGACGATGAGATATCGGTAAAGTTCATCGATAGAATTATAATTTTCTCCCCTTTTTCATGTGCTAAATTTTTCAGTTCTTGCACTTCTTGGTTTTGTATATGTTAAACAAAGAGAAATTGGAGAAGACATTCAATCGAATCGTAAGTTAGAACGAGATCTTACTTCACTAACTTTCTTGATTCTTGTGTCAAATTGACAGCTAAGTTTACCTCGGTGTCCGACACATAAATATTTATCTTAGATCTGATAACATGTTGTGCTTGTTTGTTTTAATAGTTAACTTAGTTAAATGTTGATGGATGTTATGTAACATGAAGCATGGTGTCTAATGCCACAGGATCAGAAAGAGAACGGGCTGGAGAAGGTGGAGAAAAAATCTGAGGCAAAGAGAGAAGAGTGTTCAATATCTCTTAAAATGAATTGTGGGAAATGCAAATAAGGAGAAATGCAGGAAGCCCCATCAATTACTCATCACTGTCAAGTGCAATTTGTTATTCTGTTTGTATTGATTATCCGTTAATCGGAAGCTTAATTTGATTCACTCTAGATTTTGAAAGGCAAAACTGTCATTTAATACTCTTTTACTTAAACAAAACCTAACCTAAAGTCAAACCCTTAACATTCACTTGCTTTCGCTCTCACCCCCAACATTCAAACCTTACACTTATTTTCTCTCACTCTAATCCCCACCTCCCCCTGGCCACCTAGCAACCCAAACATAACTCTTTGCAAGGCAGTGACCTTGCTTGAGGATGTTTCCGCCTCGCGAGGCTGCTATTGCCTCACAAGGCTATGACCTCACTAGAGGTTGCCACCACCCCGCAATGCTAGTGCTTCACTGAAGGCCATCACTGCCTTGCAACGCTATGATCTTTCTTGAAGTTGGGGATTGGTGATGGGGTGGATGTGGGTTAGGGTTTAAGTCAATTTGGTAATTTCACTAAGTTTTAGGGTGGTTTGATACTTTCATCTATTAACACAGATAAAATGTTATTTAATCTCAATTTACGGGCAAAATCGACAATTCTCACTCAAGATCTAACAAAAGTCCAACAACGCTACATTTAAGGGAGTGAGTGATGTTTTTCTGAATAGTTTTGGGGGAGTTTGATTAAAATGGCAATAGTTGTCATCTCAATAAAGATTTCCTATAAAGTTAGAGAGGTAAGTAATTTTCGGGCTAAACCCAACTCATAAATTACAATAAATTTGTAAATTTACTCAAACACAATAATCTCTTTGATACCGTAACCACACAATAATTAAGGGTTCCACAAACCATGAGATATGGTTTAATTTAACATTATTTTTTAAAAAAGATATTAAAATACACACTAACTTGAACAACTCATTTTGCACTCCATAGATACTAAATCTACTGTAAAGATTTCTACTTATCTTAAATTATTTCATATATCACCCCAATTTCTTTATCTTTTAATTGGGAAATTATCGTACACTACCTTTAAGGTTTCCAAATTTATTATTTGGATAACAACTTTTACACTTTTTATTAAGTGGATCCTCAAAGTTTGAAAAATGTATCATAGACAACCCTTTGCGTTACCAAAAAGACTCTCAAAGTTTAAAAATTTTATCATAGATTTCCCTTTGCCCTAATCCTATCACATTGCCGTTATACTTGCAAATCACTTTCTTATAAGACCAAAAGTCATCATTTTACCCCAACACTATTTAATAATACCAAAGTTACCATTTCACTCATATATTACAAACGACAACATAACGAAGTTAGGGCAAAAGGGTATCTAGGATACAATTTTGAAACATTGAGGGTTTATTTAATATAAAGTGTAAAAGTTATAATCCCAATGATAAATTTGTAAACCAAAAGGGTAATCTATGATAATCTACTTCTTGATTTATTCCCACTCAACCTGATAGGATTAAAAATTTTCAATTAAAACCCTTACCTTTACATCACCAGGATGACATCACTAGGATGACATCATTATGCCAACCTATCACTGACATTGTCACAAGCTTCAAATAATATTTATTCTCAAATTTTAAAAACATACTTTAACTCGAATTTTTTCCGAATAAAACAAAGGTTAATCTAATGAGATATTCTCCAAAAATATTATAACCCAATTAGATGTCTAAACCTGGATGATTTGTTTAATATTTAATTAATTAAGCAAGGAATCAAGGAATTTGTATAATGTAAGCTTGCTTTGTAGCACTGATTCTTTAATTATGAGGGTATAAAATCATATACATACACAAGTTCACCTTAAAGTTAATTGAATTCAAAGTTTTCTTCTCAGAAGATTAATTTTCTCTTCTCTTTATTGAACAAAATCATGAAGGCTGAGGCATACTTGTGCGGATGCGACTCCAAGGCTTGCTGGCTTTGTTGCTGCCTCCCACTTTGTTGTGCGGTAAGAATTTCTGCAATAATTTTTTTTTATTATTTAAGGCTAAATTAATCTTCAATATGGTGGAAAACATAAAGTAATAGTAATTATTATTGATGATTTCATTCAATTTACTTCATCTGTGGATCACTTTCTAACAAGGTTAATGATAAAAAAGATACTGTAACAAGGTTAAATATTTAAGTCACATAGTTTTGCTTTCTTAGATTAATTCATTTAGTTTTATAAATTAAATTCATGTTAATGTATGGATGTAGAAACGTTGCTGCTATTGTTCTTGTTCTGCTGCTGAAGAATCAAAGCCAAAGAAGAAATGCTGCACGTGCAAGAAATCCAAGAAGCCAGTGAAGAAAGAGAAGGTCGACGATGAGATATCGGTAAAGTTCATCAATAGAATTATAATTTTCTACCATTTTTCATGTGCTAAATTTTTCAGTTCTTACATTTCTTGGTTTTGTATATGTTAAACAAAGAGGAATTGGAGAAGACATTCAATCGAATCGTAAGTTAGAAAGAGATCTTGCTTCACTAACTTGATTCTTGTATCAAATTGACAGCTAAGTTTACCTCGGTGTCAGACACATAAATATTTATCTTAGATCTACTAACATGTTGTGTTTGTTTGTTTAAATAGTTAACTTAGTTAACATGATGCATGATGTCTAATGCCACAGGATCAGAAGGAGAACGGACTGGAGAAGGTGGAGAAGAAATCTGAGGCAAAGAGAGAAGAGTGCTCAATATCTCTTAAAATGAATTGTGGGAAATGCAAATAATGAGAAATGTAAGAAGCTCCATCAATTAGTCATCAGTTTCAAGTGCAATTTGTTGTTCTGTTTGTATTAATTATCACTTAATCGGAAACTTAATTTGATTCACCCCAGAGGATTTTTCTTGCGTACTTAATAAGTGAATGTATTGGTACTCGCAAAAATTATATTAACATTGAAAGTTTTAATTACTTTACCAAGTGAATTAAACCTAAACGGAAATGGTTGCTATGTTGATTTTAGTGTCCATTAATCATAAACATAAAGCAATCAAATATGAACCAAAATAAAGAACACTAGGTTTTTACATGGTTCAGCAACATGGCTACATCCATGGGATCAGTCCATAATGAAACTAATCCAATATGGTAAACTTTTCAGTTTAATTACAAAGCCAAATATTAAGCCTCAGTTGCAAGAACACCCCTTGTTTTGCAATGCTTCAATCTCTACCCTTTTGTCAAACTTCGTACTACATAGCCAACTCCAAGTACACAAAACCACCTGGGTAGCCTTGAGCTCCTCTCAAGGTATAGCAATGAAGTTCCACTTTGGTTGAACAAGCTCAGCAAGCTTCAAGCATCAGCTACATAACCAAACATAGAGAGCAAGGACAAATTCTAAGGACTTTTAAGAAGGTATTTGTAAGCTTACCTAAGTATGGAAACCTGATAAAAACAAAAGAAAACTTTAGAAATATTCAAAGTATTTTCAAGGAAATAATTAGGCTTCAAAAGAAATTGCATTGGAGAAAAGCAGCCAATGCAAAAGGACAAGCGGCTAACAAGAAACTTTATGGATTCAACTTTGTGAAAAGCTTATTCCATTTCTCTTGGGACCACCAATCAATGAAGATAAACTTTCCAACTCATTGTGTAACAAATTGACAAGTGTTATGGACTAGAACAATATCTCATAAAGAAAATAATGACAGCTCAAGGGAATATTAAAATACAATACGTGTTTTAAACAAAATATATGTCAGATGCATTATGACCACTCTGACTCTGAGGTGCTCACACGATGTACCAGAAAAACAATTTAATTGAAGGTGGTCACTTTGACAAAAGGTCGTCACACTAGAAATTAAAAAAAACAATTGTGCTAAAGACAAAGTGAGGTGTTCATACCATGACTTGTTACCACACTAGATTCATAAGTTGACAAGTAACTTACAATCTCCCCCTTTGTCAAACTTATGAACAGAGCACAATCTTTTCGAACATGAACCTGTCTCAAAAATCATCAATCATTCAAATGAGATAGTTATATAAACAAACACAAAAACAAGATCTCATCAAAGGTATAATCATTAAAAGAGAGAGATATGCATGACATAAAAACAATTTACTCCCGCTCAAGTAGTATACTCCCCCTAAGTAACTAAACCAAGTCAATATTGAAATGACAATCAATGAAACAAAAGGAGGGTTAGTAAAGTTCACAAAAACTTGTTCTCTGCACATGAAAGAACAACATTAGTAATGACATTCAAGAAACATGCAATTTCTCAATATAAAAAAATATTGCAAGTTATAAACTGAACACCAATAAAAGAAAATTTAAAAGTTCAACAAACAATCCAAAAAAATTCAGTTTAGGTGATCATTTCAACCAGAGTGATCACATCAAAGTTCAGATGATCACTTTAACTAGAGTTATCACATCAAGAGCAACCGCGCAACCGCTTTTGAAAGATCTTCAGGTTTTTACTCCCCCTCTTTGTTCATAGTTTTTCAACCCTTATGTCTATTTGATCTCTTGATGAGAAGAGTCTATCTAGCTGTTGATTTTTTACATCTCTTTGATGGGGCAAACACTTGAGGCTGATTTAAAGAGTTGTAGCAGTGTCAATTACCATAAGAGGTGCAACAAGGGTGGCAGCATCAACTGGAACTTCTTCAGTGTATTGATCAATGGCAGGATCAATTGATTAAGTTAGAGTCTCAAAACCAACAACAACAATAGCAGCTTTAACAATGGCTTCAACCTCATCAACAGCACCAATTGCAGCAACAGCAAAGTCTTCAGGAACTTCCAAGGCTTCAGTAGGATCAGGCACACCCATAGAGGAAATTTGATGCTCCTTTTCAACTCAATTATTTTCATCAGCCTAATCATGATCATCAGTACTAGAAGGAATATCTATAGCAATTTCATTTTGAACTTGAGAGGCAAGAGGCAAATCAGTGGTAGCTTCATCTTGAACTTGAGAGGCGGGAGGCACATTAGAAGCAACTTTATCCAAATCTTTTTCCAAGATGGCAACTCTTGTATCTTTCACTAGGTCTTCTAAGGTATCCACACGAGCAGTCAAGGCAGTATGATAATCATCCATCTTCTTCCCCATTTTCTACAAAAAGTCAAAAATCCTAGACTGCTAGTGTTAATTTTAGCAAGGGCAACTTGTGAGGATGATGGAACATCCATGATAGGAGCAGTTGGAGAACCAGATCCCTTGATTATCTTGGAGAAGATCTTCCTCACTTTGAGATGAATTTCATTTGACTGCTTGATTGGACCATAGGAGTTTACAATCCTATGGATTAGAGATGGAAAAACTAAGGCCAAGGTCTTGCCTTCAATCTCAGAAGCAGACTTGATTGATTGGTAGATCAAGGAAGACAAATTGATACTTTTCCCTCTCACAATCCCATAAAGGAACTAGGCTTTGTCTAACCTAATAGATGAATTGTGTCTAAAGGGTGACCAGTTTGTAAAGGCTATTTTGAACAAAATCTTAAACGGAGGGGTGAGCACATTAGCAGCAATGTAACCACAATTGGGCCAGGTGGTAACAACTCTACCAGTGAATTCACTTGCTAAATTCCCTAATTCTTCAATAGGGATGGTCAAGTCATCAACCATTTCAACAACAGGCAATCTCAAATGAGTCTTAATTACACTAGGAGTGAATACCATCCAAGTTCCCCTGACACAGACTTTTATTTTTCTTAAAATTCAATTGGTCTAGGTCTTTCCTAAAAGTGGAATTAAATATATAGACGAAACCTTGGCATGGAGTGACAAAATGGACAACAATTCTTTCCCATTTTCTCTCAGACACAAAATGGGCAATTTCAGTAAAATTAGATAACTCAATATGGGATTCATAGATAATTGGCCTAAAAACAATACTTTCTCTAAACCTAGATTTTGCAATAAGAGAGCTAAAATTTTTGCATTTACCCATACCCTCAAATTGAGGAGAAGATTTTGCTTTCTTCTTGCCTTTGAATGCCTCTGATTGAGGCTATTTTCCCTTTGCCTTTGCAAGAGATGCCTTTGTTTGCTTCAGTCGTTTGATTGGTTGTTCGTTGGAGGATGACGAGTTTGTGGTTGACAAGCTGGACACAAATTGCGTCGCTTTGGAGTGTTATCACCTGACAATGCGGAGTGATCATTGTCAGTGGCTCGTGAGGTCGGGCTTGTTCTTGCTCTCTTCTTTGATTCTACAACTCTTTGAATATCAACAAGGAATGACTCTTGATGATCCATTGAATGAGAAACCAAGCAACTCAGATTTTTCAATGAAAGAAAAATAAAATGGAGGTTTTTGAGAGAAAGAGATTGACGACACAAGGTTTTCAATGAACGAGAAAAACTTAGACTAGTAACTCTTTATAAAGTAAAACCCTAGAGAAATATAGGTGTTAATTCAATCTGTCACTTAAAGACACAATAAGCACCTTGAACGCAAATTGAACACTCTAGCAGTACAAATGTCAAGGTGATGACCTCATTCAAGAAGTGGTCACACAATAAGGAAAGACAAGCAATTTCAACCATCAAATGGTGACGCAAATGTCAGGGTGAACATACAAGAATCAATTTTGCAATTTAGATCAACGTAGCAGAGGGTGGTAACTGAAAAGACTAATGTGATCATCGTGAAGCAAGCAAGTTAACACATGAATACTTAAAGTGGTGGCATAGACAAAAAGGTGAAAGACTAAAAAAATACATAATGGTCATGAGTTCAGACAAAAATATCATGAGATTTAAAGAGACAAGTCATATTTATTTGATTAGAAGACACAAAAATCATTTAGCAACCTATGAAAGAAATGCATAAGGAGTATCTCATCCAATGAACATTTCATAACTTAAAGTAATCACTCCTTTAAGTCACAAATCAGCAATAAAAGCAAACATTCTTAATCATATGTGTGTGAAGTGTCCTCAAGGGTTGAGTTTGACTTATTGGTCAAATTTTTAATAAAAGCAACTCCCATTTCTCTCATGCCCTTTTTCTTCTGCTTAATTCTTTTTCTTTTTTAACTTAATCTCAACATTTTGGATTTTTTTTTGCATGTCAATAGAGATTAATCGGCATAACTCTCAAGAGGTAATCAAGTGTAACTTTCACACTTGCTAGTAGGTAGTCCTCTAAATGGTAGATTTTTCAAGGACATAGGGGTCTCTCTATATCCAAGAAAATTACTCAAGCATGACTTTCATAGTACAAAAAAATGTAGCTCTTTCACAATGGTGACAAAAAACATGCACAAAGTACTCAAAAAAATGAAAGAAAGTCACTATACTTCTTCAGGTGAAAAACATGGTGGACACACCACTCGCCACACATATTTCAAAGAGAGAAATGAATCTTCATGACTTAACATAGATCATATGCACTTGTAATTTTAAAGACAAAGAAAAGGTTTTCTCATGACATTATTAAAGGAAAAAAATCTACTCAAGTTGAGTTAGTCCAATGGACTTCCCAAATTCACAAAAGTTTGAAAGTCTAAAGCCTTTGTAAATAAGTTAGCAAGTTGAGACTCAGTGTTCACATGTGCCAAAATGATCACTTTATAACTAAGTCTCTAATGAAATGATGCCTAATATCAATGTGCTTAGTTCTAGAGTGGTGAACTGGATTCTTGGATATGTTTATTGCACTTGTATTATCACATAAAATAGTAATTACATTCTTGATGAAAACCATAGTCACTCAATATTTGTTTAATCCAGAAAACCTATGTACAATAGCTCCCTACAGCAATGTATTCTGCCTTGGCTGTTGACAGAGAGATGGAATTATGTTTCCTGTTGTACCAAGTTACCATGTTGTTCCTAAGGAAAAAGAATCCTCCAAAACTACTCTTCTTGTCATCCAAGCTTCCAGCCCAATCTGCG